TATATATGTATATGTATATATATATATACATATATATACATATATACATACAGACATATATGTACCTATACATATATATACATATATACATGCAGACATATATGTACCTATATATCTATATATACATATATACATGCAGACATATATGTATCTATATATCTATATATCCATATATACATGCAGACATATATGTATCTATATATCTATATATCCATATATACATACAGACATATATGTATCTATATATCTATATATATATATATACATACAGACATATATGTATCTATATATCTATATATCCATATATACATGCAGACATATATGTATCTATATATCTATATATCCATATATACATACAGACATATATGTATCTATATATGTATGTATATATGAAATATATATATGTACATATATTTATATATACATACATATATATTTCATATATATGTACATGCATGTATATATCTATATATAAGTACATGCATGTATCTATGTATATGTATATATATGTACATGCATGTATGTATGTATATATATGTATATTCACACACACACATACACACTTACATACATACATATAATATTATCGCTTGTGGGACGGGAGCTTGTATGTGTAATCTACAACTCATAGTAGATTGAATGTTTTAGCTAGGCTATGTCTCCTGATCTTTTTTCTTTCTTGATTTTCCACACTAAAATTTCTTGCATTTATGCTCGTCACTTTGTAGTACCTAGGTATCTGCTGCATTACCGTGCAATGCTATAATGATAATTTACTATTCTATGACCCTGAATTCTCAAGCACCCATTATTTATAGTTGTTTTATTATATTAGAAAAACTAAGGCTCAATATTTTTAAGGGATGATATGATAAAAAGAAACAATGATATTTACAAATAATAATAATAATTATTATTATTTTATTATTATCAAAATAGAAAAAAAAAATATTTTCCACTAAGAATACGAAAGTCTGTTGACAGAAAGCCGCTCGGAAAAAAGCGACAAATTTCTACGCCCCTTTACCCCATTCGGCTAATCAAGGTATTAACTATTAATTAATCATCCCCTTCGAGACTCCTTCAAAGGATTGTTTTGAAAATCCGCAATCTTGCATTTCACTCCTTCACGAGAAAATCAAAATAACAATTAATCCGCAGAAGAGATCCATGAAGCCAAGGAGGGAGCCGCCGGTGCCCTAATTCCCTCCAGGAGAAGACGAGAAGCCACGGGAAAGCTGGGGTGAAAGAAAGTAGAAAGATGGCAGATCCCGGTGGCAGCGGATTCGACGATAAATTGGCCTATTTCCAAGCAATCACAGGCCTTGAAGACACCGAGCTCTGTACCGAAATACTGTCTGCACACAATTGGGACCTTGAGCTCGCTATCTCCTCTTTCACCTCTACAGCCGATTCACCATCTCGCCCTTCCGCGCCATCGTCCTCTTTAGCCCCCGCGGAAGGTGCCCAAGCCGTTGTCGCATCACCGTTAACTGATCTGGCACCGCAGGCCTCACCCGGCCTCACCTGGAGGCTAATCACTCTCCCCTTCTACGTTGTCTCCGGTGGCATCGGTCTTATATCTGGGGCCGTGGGTCTTGGCGCTTGGGTTGCCGGCAGCGTCCTTTCTCGTTCCCTTGGTCTCTTAGGCTTCCTTCCGGCCCGCGAGCAGCACGAGTCTGACCGTCTAATCCCTGTATCGGCCTCTGCTGCCGAGGCTGCGGACTTTGTTGCCGCCTTCGAGAGGAACTTTGGCGCCGCCTCAGCCTCCCGGCCAAATTTTGTGGCGGAGGGGTTCATGGACACGCTCCAGAGATCGCAGCGGGAGTTCAAGCTGCTGTTCGTGTATATTCACTCTCCAGACCACCCTGACGTGCCGGTATTCTGCGCAGAATGCCTTTGTTCAGGGTTGGTGGCGCCGTTCGTGAACGAGAACTTTGTTTGTTGGGGAGGAAGCATCCGCGGGAGCGAAGGGTTTAAGATGAGCAACAGCCTTAAGGCGTCGCGTTTCCCTTTCTGTGCGGTCGTAATGGCCTCCACCAACCAGCGGATTGCGCTTCTTGAGCAGGTATCTGTTATAGATCTTTTAGGAAGATGTATTCCTTAACAGTTTACGTGGCATGAGAATCTTATAGTTGCAGATTTAGGTCCCTTCACCATTAATTTGAAGATGCATTCTGTGTCTATTTATTAGATATTTGTCAACAAGCTGGGCAATAATATGGTGTTGGTTATTCTAAGGGAATCCCTCTTGCTTTGATTTCTGAATCTACAGTCCTCTCTATAATAAGATTGAGGCCATTTATTTACTATGGCATGGTTCAAATTGTGCAATTATATATTGAGGCATTTTTAGTGTGTGAGATGAGTTTAAACATTAAAGCATTTTGAGGCGTAAGCCACAAATTTCAAAAATTATGTAAATGAAAAGCTATTATATAAAATTCAATCTGTGAATTAAGAAGTAATATCTTACATCCTGACATATTAACATATAAAAAACAATCTACCGATATTTTAGTAAAATAAGAAGTAACATGTTAATATCCTAATATTAAATTATGAAATAGGATGTGTTATGCAAATGTCAAACTATCAAAGTAAGTTAAGATATTAAAATAAAATGTAAAATGCTAAAATATAATAACACAACATCCAAACTTAATTCAATATTTTCTCTATATCACTTGTACCATCTTCCTCTTTTTTAAGTAAGACATATTAAACCATCAAAATTAGAATTTTAAATTTAAAAATTTCCATAGCTCTCATCACTTAATAGTTCTTCATTAGAATTTTCAATATAATGAATTGTTTACTTTTTAATGTCTGATCCTCAATTAGATCATGTTTTCCCATTCTATTGATCTTTAGTTTTTGTCATCTTTTTCTTTTTAAATCAATAATAATCAATAAAAACATTAATTAAAGTTTAAAATATTGACTACGTTGAAGTTTAAAATTTTAATTACCTAAATTTCTATGGATATTTTTTTGTTTATTTCTTGTTGGCTTGTCTGTGGGACATAGGGCTAATTGATGTGGTATATTTTTTTTTATTTTAGAACTTTGGCTAAAAATAGTTACTGACTGCCTTAGATAATTGAGGCCAACACGCCTCGCTCTGAGAACAATGAGGCTTAAGCCTACTTATGATTTCTCGTAAATAGTCTTGAGGCATATCTCATACAGTGCAAATTTTGACCGGATATTATGATATTATTATTTATTATGGTATTGAATTTTATTGCTAAAGTGATAGCTTTATAAGTATAAACATATAAGAGCTAAAATAAAGAATACTTCATGCAAAACTATCTGAAGAGTACAATTAATAATAGAAGAAGGTAATGCTATAGTTTTGTTTTGTTATGATGTATGAGTTAATGATGAAGAGTGTTATAAAGTAAGGACCAAGCAAAGAAAATGCTTGATTCTAATAAAACACAAATTATTTATTTTCTTATAAAAAAAATAGATCATCAAGATTTTAAAGATTGTATGGTCATTCTAAGTTAATATTTAAGTACTCAACATCAATCATTAATTTTGTATTTTAAGATGAAGGCTTGGAAGATTAAAAAATATATCAAAATTATATCTTAAAATTAGATTGTGACACTTAGGGTGTGTTTGGTGCAACTTTTTTTTGCTGCGACACGACATGAAAAAGCTATTCCCCCGTTTAGTTTGCGTGGTGCTGGCATGTTTACTTAAACACGCCGAAGACCTTGCACTTGCTGCTTCTTTTGTTTTGCTATTACCCCCTTGCCCCCCTGCTTCGGCCTCGACCCCGCATTCACTTGTTTTTTCGGGCTGCCTTCAGGTTTTTCTCCTCTTTCTTTTTTTCTTTATCTGGCACCTGGGGCGAAGAAAACCCGTAGTTTGGTTCTGTCGATCTTCTTCATCCTCCGATATATTCTACCCTTTCTCTATTCTTGGTGGCTTGGCTCGTTTTGGTTTGTGATTTGCGCAAAAATTTTTTTTTGGGGGGGATAATTACATGCATAAGACCCGAAACACTTCTTTTTCTCTGTCCCATTAACTTTGCTTTGTTTGGTTTGTGGTTTGTGCCTTCATTTTTGTTTTGAGATTATTACATATATAACACCTGAAATGATGCTTCCCGATGGATTTGATCTGTTCGTTTTGTGGTTCGTGCAGAAACTCATCTGATTTTCCTTTATGTTTTTTGGATAATTACATACATAACACCTGAAACATGGTGATTTTTGGTTTTTGGTTAGATCAGAAATCCAACTGACTTATTTACATGTGCGATAATCAATCCATTGACAATTTAATAAGAATGAAAAATATGGGTTGGGTTTTTATTTTGAATTTTGATATTTGGGTGAGAATTTGAAAAAAAGAAGGAAGAGGTGCTAGATTTGTTAATAGCAATGTTCGAGTGCTGTGTACTTTTGATTTTTTATGTGAACTTCTCTGGCGAATTGACATTTTGTTTGCTATGCTGGAAGGAAGTGATTTGGATTTTGTGGTATGTCGGGTATAGGAACATTTCGTTTTACTCTTTGGGTTTTGCTCGTATTGCCCTAGATCCTATGAAAGGGGATGTCCAAGATGCAATAAATCTCTTTCTTTATAATGCATGTTATATGAGCTTATGGGGATTCATGAACACCTGATAATACTATTGTGGTTTTTACGGACAACAGAAAAAAAAAATCAAAAGGCAGTCAAATATTATCAATTTTTTTTTTTTTTTTGTGAAGTTGTTGTTTAGGCAGATTGGGTGCATGAGAATATGAAAAAAATGCAAACTTTGTTTTTGTGTGGTATTTGTGTCATGTTGGTGGTAATTGTGTGGTGGTGTGGTGCTAGTGGTGTATTGATGATATTAGCATGATGGTGCATTGGTGGTTATTGTATGGTGATAGTGATGGCGTGGTGGTGAGAGATTGGAGATAAAAATTTAGTAGATGTCTAGCGCTTTCTAATTTTTTTTAAATTATCAATTAATTTGTAGGTCAAGCAAAATGCTAAAAAGTCAAGTTTAGTGGCATTGATACTTGGGCACAAAGTGAGAGATTGTACACCAGCAGAGCTGAGCAAACCGTTGACTCAAATAAAAGGTCCAATCTAAAACTTAATGAAGTTGGGTCTACTAGTTGTTCCAAATGTCTTCGAGTTGAGGAAAAAAAAGATGGTGCGATTTTCTAGAAGTCAAATTCCACAATTAGTTGTTTCTTGCACCAATGAGCCTAGCACATTACATGCAACTTCTATTCAACAAGCTATGAAAATATTGGAAGAAACTTAAAAAATTTAAGAATACATGCCCTTTTACTTGTTTTTGATAAAGTTAGAAGATCCGAATAGGAGAGAGTTCGTTATGGCGATGTCATTTAATCGGAGCGTTAATTATTTATGTTATTTTCATGATATTCAAGATGTATGATTCTTATGTTATTTCTGGACTTCTTCATGTTCGATTGTAATGGGTGATAGGCATATTATTTTTAATATACAATCATTACAATCATTCATTACTTTTGGAAATTTCATTTACCATGATTTCTATTTAGGATATTACTTGCTAATTCAATGTTATTTTATATTTGTTAGTTACATCAACAATGAATAACATTGATAGGAAAAGGCAAAAAAAAAAAATTATAACTACATTATGCGTAATGTATCAAGTATTAGAACTCATAACGCTTTTGCTCTTTTAATGACATTCACCTACATTGGCGATAAATGAGTTAGGGAGCTACTTGTGGGTCATTCAACAAGATTTAACTATATGTTCCGTATGACACATGTTATATTTACTATTTTATTAGAAGAACTACGCAAAAATCGTGGATTCCATTACTCCTCTAGGATGACTTCAAGAGAGGTTTTACCTACAACCCTCTTTATCTTATCACATAATGAGTCTATGAGAGGAGCCATTGAGCATTTTCAAAACCCATCAGAAATAATTAATAGATTTTTTTAGTTGGTTTGGATGCTCTAATCAATTTATTTTCAAAAGTTATTAGACTTGAAAACCTCGATTTCAAATCACACCTATAGAGATTTCAGAAGATCAACGTTATATGCATATTTTAAGGTGGATTCTTGTGTTCATTTTTTTCCAAAAGTTACTTATACGCAATAACTCTGATAACTTATATAATTGAAGTAAGATTGTCTTAGAGCAATAGATAGAACACATGAGGATGCACGCTCTGGTCAAGCAATTGCATTCATTAGACACCAACACAATGTAATGGCTAAATGTGATTTCAATATATGTTTCACTTTTGTGATGACCAGATTGGAAGACAACGCACATGATAGTTTCATTTTCAAATTTACTATGCGAACTCATAAATATATTTTTCTAAAGTCATCTCCAGATTAACTTCAATTTTAATAAATGAAATAATACTTTCAGTTTAATACTGATTTCTATATTTATAACAGAAAAATATTATTTGGTTGATGTTAATAAAATATCACATTTCTGATTTTAAAAGAGCTAAGATTATAGCTCAGGGCAGAAATGAGATATTTAACAAGAGGTACTCATCCTTACATGATGTTATTGAGAGGACATTTAAGGTTTGAAAAAAATGGGTTATTCTACGAGATATGCCCACATATCCTTTCAACAGTGATGATTATGGTCGCTTAAACAACTCTCCATAATTACATCAGTTGACATCTTTCACGTAGTAAAATTGATTTCAATAGTGCAAATGAAGATCATCACTGTCCCTACTGAAGCATACAAATAATACTTAGGACATTCAACATTCTAAGCTGAATGTGATTTACTGAGTCTCGTACCTTGGATGGGGAAGGTGTTGGGGAGATGGAGTTGAGGGAACAAATTATAAATGCAATAGTTAATGGGTTAAAAGATATGCTGTAACTTTCTCTTTATTTATATAGAAGGTTTTGTGAAAATGTTTTATGGGTATTGCAATGACGCTTTATGCATTGATGTTCTTTTGGGATCTCAAGTTGATGCAAATTATTTTCCATTAATTTTGCATGTATGGGTAATATATATATATATATATATATATATGACCTTAGGGGTTTTTCTGG